TCATCTAAATAACCCAACTGATTTCTGATAGACAATTCAGATGAGCAGGAACTGCATTTTCTGCAAGTCTTGGCTGGATATGGCTGTAATAAAAGAGAACTCCAGGCAAACCTTTCCAAACAATTCTGTCACCATGCAGTACTTCAAACCTTATCTGCAGCTTTCTTGCTAATTTAGTCCTAGACCTTTCTTCTCAAGAGACTGCCTATTTTAAAAAACTCCTGACAAATTATTTAGTGGGTTTCTTTATGAGTTTGTGGTAGAAACATTGGCTTATCCTTAATTGATAGAATATATTTAAGTGGTCGTGGTAAAAACAAAAAGCAAAAACCCCAAACAAAAGAAACCTTCCTTGCACAAAATCAAGATAATTCCTCTCCCCAGCCTAGACTGCCTGCACAAGCCACGTTCCATCCTCATCTTTCTGCCCAACCAGGTAGGGATCACTGTGGGTGTTTCCCACGTCTACAACTGCAGCTGCCTCAGAAGAAACCCACCTCCTACCAGTCACACCAAATTATCATCCAGTGTCACATCTGCTGCACACATGGAGTCCACTTTGGAGGCAGTTGGCCTCGGGGGCCTTACTCTTCCAGTGCTCTCCTGCAATTAGTGCATTTCTTCAGGTTGTGCCTTTGTGATCCTTGTATGCCATCAACTTCAGCCTCAGCATTTGTTGAGCACAGCCGAGGAAGCGAGGCAGGGGTGGAAACAGGGCAGAGCTGAGGGGCAGGCTCACTGGCTGCTCTCTCATGCAAGATGTTTAATTTAAGCTTTTCTTTTCTGCCTTCAGGTCAGGCTACTCTGATAGCCATCTTGTTAAATTTGGTCTTTGATGCTGTATGGTCACTGCTTCCCTGCTTCTGGTTACTCTCAGCCTGTCCAGATCAGTGGGCTGCTGGACCACCCCATGTGCTAACCCCGTTACATCCTGTTCTGGACGACAGCCTTGTCACAGAAAGGAAGTGGAAGGTGACGCACCTTTAGAAAAAATGTAGACGGGACCCAGTTCAGTGATGAAGGACAATGAACACGAGTGACCAGCTGAACTAAGCCCTCCTTTGCTTTG